AAAGAATTTCGATATTATAATTTGATATTTTTCTTAAAATAATCCTTTTATTTAATATGCTTTCTATTTGAAATAGAATTTATATAAAAACATAATTCACAATTTAAATATTATTCTCTAGCATCATTCATTTTTAAGTTTCAACAAGTTAATAAAGTGACACATAATTCACCATACAATATATATATATATATATATGTGTGTGTGTGTGTGTGTGTGTGTGTGTGTGTGTGTGTGTGTGTGTCTTAAGGAGTAATGAATTTTGAAAGAATTTCGATATTAAAATTTGATATTTTTCTTAAAATAATCCTTTTATTTAATATGCTTTCTATTTGAAAGAGAATTTATATGAAAATATAATTCATNTTATTTAATATGCTTTCTATTTGAAAGAGAATTTATATAAAAACATAATTCACAATTTAAATATTATTCTCTAGCATTATTCATTTTTAAGTTTCAACAAGTTAATAAAGTGACACATAATTCACCATACAATATCATGATAACTAATTATTTGTAAATAGTTACTAAGTATTGTATCTCGTAAACGTGAAAAAATTAATATTTAGAAAAATAATTATAAAAAATTTTATGGACTATTATATAGTAAAGACATAAGAAAAGTTAATAAATAAATACTTTTTAATTGAAAGATTTATTTAAGATTAACTATCATAGCAGTCTTACTGGATAACGTGCAATAATTTTTATTTTAATTATGACATAAAATACTCTCAATTTAATGATTTATAATTAAAAAAAGTAATTTTAAATAGTCAGCGATTTATTAAGAAAATTTGAGGATTTACAAGGTTAGTTACATACAGTTACATAAAGTTCTATTAGACGAGCCCAGTAAGATGGGCGTTGGGCGTGTCCGGGGCGTAAGCCCCGATGGCCGAGGCGTAAGTCTTACCGAACTAAGTCCCACACATAAGCTTAGGGGTGTATTACGAGTGCTCCGTCAATTCTGCCTTTTAAAACTGAGGTTGTGGTAAATGTGTTTATTGAACTTATGACCAGGCAAATAACTCTCCGATTAAGTACATTGTTTTATGGAGAGCATTAGGCTTCAAATTTCCTCGCTAAATATGACCGGGCATATAACTATGTCATAATTTGGGACTCATTATTGAATGGTTTAGGCTTAGCTGCCCTGTTGGGAATTGCCACAGATTGTATACCATAGAATACAGTCGCCCACAGATTTCAATACAACTATATTAAATAGTTGCTGCCAATCATTGACACCTACTATTTTTGACAGTTTAACATATACACTTAATATATTGTAACCCCACATGGGTCAAAAGTTATGAACACTTGACTCTCTGTTGGCAAAACTACTTATGTTTATGTGGCGGACCTATTTGTAACAACAAAGATCATAGGAGCCCCAGAAAGGATTATGATAAATAACTTGCCACCCTAAATACTAAAAATCTGTAGAGGCGATAATAAAAAGAATAATGGTACTCTTAAGTGTGACTGCAACCATAAAGTCATCGTCTTCTCGGATAAGTCCGATTAACCCCTCAACGTCTCATTCTTCATTTGTTTCTATAATATGTACACTGTCACCTCTATGATCAGGGAATGGATTGTTGCGGACATTAGGTGCGGCTTCCTTCGCCTATATGACCTTGTTTTCAATGAGTGTCTGGATCTTATCCTTCAATGTTCGGCTTTTCGTGTTAAAATTTTGGGTCCTCCTCTTGGCTACCACTTAACTACTCCATTGATTCTTAGTGCCCTCCACTCTTTGACACGACTTTGACTTTAACACAATTTCTAGAAGGTGGTCAGATATTACAAATTAATGTAGAAAATAATCAAAATATGAATATGAGAATTATTTCATCTCGTATTCGTTGAAATTTTTACTGATATTGTAAACATTCTTTAGATGATTCGATAGCGTAAAAACACTTACATAACTGACAGCGCATATAACTTTAACTCTAATAAATAACCATAACATGAAATAGACTCTTATTTCATACATAGATATCATCGCTGTACAAAACTCAGATGCCTAAAATTTTCACCCTTAAATCACAAATACAACCAACTTTTTAACTACAACAAGAACAAAGCCCATGTGTACATTAATCAATTCTGTAATACCTTTCTCATTTTGGAAGCCAGTTCAGCTAGTGCTTTTGTAGAAGAACCATTTTCACCAAGTACTTTAGCAGCTACATCTTTTAAATCTCTCATTCTACTACGAACTCCTTTTCCTCCTTCACCTTCCATCAATTCTCTTACCACTTCAGCAATTTCCTCTCTTCCCACGACGCCATTCTCACTGGTTTTCAGCCTCAATGCCACTTTTAGATCCTCGTTTAACATTATCGTGTTCATTCTTTGTTCTGCATATAACGGCCAAGCAATAAGTGGAATGCCATGGACCACACTCTCTAACGTCGAATTCCATCCACAGTGAGTCAAGAACCCGCCTGTCGAGCTATGGCTAAGGATTTGGGCTTGTGGAGCCCAATTAGGCACCATTAATCCTTGTCCTTTGGTCCTTTCCAAGAACCCTTGTGGTAAAAAATCAAAAGGGTTACTTGAACTTTGGATATTAAAGTAAGTGGCATTAGCAATTCTATCATTTGGGCATCTTATAACCCATAAAAATCTTTGATCACTCATTTCTAAACCCATTGCAAGTTCAATTAGCTGCTCATGTGAGAGAGTTCCACCACTTCCAAAGGAGATGTACAAAACTGAGTTACATGGCTGCTCATCTAGCCATTTCAAACATTCTAATTCCTCAGCTTTACTGCTTACATCCATATGTATAAGCGGTCCAACTGCGTAAACCGGTGGCTTATCTGCAGAGGCGTATGTACCATATAATTAGTCAATAGGTTCAACTGATCCAAGTATATTTGAGAGGGAGTATAAGTATAGATTCCCTATGTTTCAGTTTATGTAGCGAAATTCGAACTTATTGAAATAAATTTAAATAAAAAGTACTAAAAACAATGATCTAAGTCAAAATAGTTAATAAATCAATATATTTAAAAATATTTAAAAGTCATTGCCGATGAAACACTACTCTAATTATCTAAATACCACTTTTATTTTAATGTATGTGAAGATATTTGACTGATCAAAGGGCTTAAGAAAAAATAAAGATTTATGAAACTTGTAATTTTAAACATATCATAACATTTGTATGATTATATATGAGATTTGTGATTTTAAATATATTATAATATTTTTGTGATTATAAAAGCTTTTCATTAAGGGTAAAATGAACTTTAAAAAAAAATCATATAAATTGAAATAGAAGGAACACTGATAGTGCCACATAAGTGGAAGTAAGGGACTCTCGGAGTATATGCAAAATAAATCACTTAAAATTTTAACAAGTATAGATTATATAAATTTTAAAGCATAATGAATTACTAAAAACATCAACAACAACACAATAATAATAATATATTCGGTGTAATCCCACGTATTGAGATCGGAGAAGGGTAGTGTGTACGCATACTTTACCCCAATAGTTATGGTAACCAATAGTTATGGTAAAAAGGTTATTTCCAATATACCCTCGGCTCAAGAAAAGTATAAGCACAGTAGTTATGGGGAAAAAACGATGGTGTAGAAGCCATGAAAACAAAGCAGTAACTAACAGCAGGATCATATGTTAAAAACATCAACCCATCAAATTAACTCTAAATTGTGTCTCTTCTTACCTGGTTCTTCCTCATGCAAAGCTTTAATGGCACCTGGTTCCAACTCCTTGAAACTATTCACCACTATTCCCTCCGCCATTTTATACCTTTTCGTATGATGAAGCAGCCATTTGTAAGCATCATTCTTCCTATCCTGAACCGGGTCGAGAAGTTCCTTTGCTTCAATAGGAACACAACCCGGAATCCGAACCGGTTCTTTCAACTCTCTATACTCACATGACACAGCTGCATCAAGTGTAGGCAAATAAAGAAATAATGACAAACACATAGCTGTAGTAGGGTAAAAAATATAAGGAGAAACATTAAATTCTTTTGCTACATCAAATGTATCCGTGCCAAAAAGATCAACCACTAAAGCAACTGTTTTCTTCGTTTCAACTAGTAACATGAAAACTTTACGAAAAGAAGGAAGTGAACGTGTGACTGTAAGAGAGATACGTGTCTCGGCTTTAACATCTTCGGGTAAATCGTCGAAGTTAACGGGAGGTAAAAGGAGGTAATTCATGGTAGAAGGAAGGGAGTTGAGGAATTTTTTTTGAGATTCAGAGATAGGACCGTTAGTAGGAAGGATGACTGTTATAGAGAAGTCGTGCTCGTGAATAAGTCGTTTGGCGAATTCAACGAGGGGGACTAAGTGACCCATTCCTGGAGTTGGTAGAAGGACGACATGGGGTTTTTGTTCTGATTGTGTTGTTATTGGAGTTTCCGCCATTTTTGTAGCTCGGTTTAAGATAACCTAAATTTGATAGGGTTTTATAGTGGAGATTGAAGGATAAAATGACGAAAGAATGATGCAACTGCTTGCTAAACAAGACTTTTCTTCTTGCACTCTTTTTTTTTAAAGAAAATAATGACAGACTGTAATTATAATCTATGTGTCACACATCCCAAGAATATTTTCGGAAAGTTCGAGCTTGTAGCGGAGCCAGAATTTATACTAAGGGGATTCGGAATATTAAGTCTATTGGAAACAGTATTTCTGTCTTTTCAGAAGGCGGATTTAGGAAGGCGGGAGGGGGTTCATCCGAACTCCCTTCGCCAAAAATTTATACTGTGTATATAAGGCAAAATCTATTTTTTACCTCTATATATTAAATTTTGAACTCCCTTAACACAACTCAAAAGTGTAATTTAGTGGTCAAGGGGGTTCAAAACCTTCGTAAGGTCATAGGTTCAATTCTCACTAGTTAAAAAAAAAAAATTGAACTCCCTTCGTATGGATCCTGTCTTCGCCAATAAGAGTAAGGTTGTGTACATCCTATTATTTCCAGATCTTACTTGTAAGATTATACTGCATTGTGGTTGGATTCGGAATATTATAAATTGACACACAAATATGTCATGGAAATTAACATTTATTTTCTATGTATAAGAAGTAATTTTGATTTTATATATACAATATATATAATTTTTCGGCCAAAGGGGAAATTTTTCTGCCACCCTAGATCTGTCTTGGTCCGAGCAACATCGGCAATAATGCAGGGCAAAAGGTTTAGGAAAAAAATTGGCTCCACTGTTTACTAAAGATTATATCATCTTGTTTGCTTCCTTGTGTTTTTGCTGACTCGTATACAGATGTAATAGAAACACAATGCAAGTGTTCATTAATTGAGAACATTTTTTACCTCTGTGAAAACTTTATACTTGTGAATATCAGTATCGGAGCCAAAATTNATATATATATAATTTATTTTTGTACCTATCTACACAATGTATTTTTTCCTCAAATGGGTGTCATTTGACATCCCTTCCTAGTGGCTCCAGCACTGGTGATTATTTCACCAAAAATAATCACCACAAAATTTGAAAAAAAGAGTATAAGATTGTCTTTACAATTGTATGGTTGAAGATCATTACACGGCTTACTACATAATATTTTAAGGTAAGTAGTCTAAGTCATGTCATTGTTGTTGTTGATACTTATTTTTCTTCCTTTTTAGATGGAGGTTTGGTCTTGTTTATGATATCTTAAGTACGTTGAAACAAATGCACGTGTATGGGTGTAACCCCTGGTAAATACTTTAATTTCACGATTATAACAATATTCTAAATAAGTAATGAACTAACGGGTCGTTTGGTATGAGGTATAAGAAGGTATAAGGGTGATATAAAAATTTAATACCATCTTAATATTCTGTTTGGTTAGCAAATCAGATATAAGTTATCCTGGTGTTAATTTTAACACTGGGATAACTTATACCTTATAAAAGATGGGGTAATTAGCACCGGTATAACTTATACCTTCTTCTTAGAAATTATGCAATTGTCATTCTTAATACAACATACCAAATAATGAATAAACAACAGTTCTAGCATAACTAATCCCAGCATAACTTATCCCAATATAACTTATACCGGCATAACTTATACCGGTACAAATCGTATTCCAACCAAACGACCCTAAGAGTTCCAATTTCATTAATACAGAAAAAATTGGAAGTAAACGAAATAGGGTTATAATATTATACTTCGTTGAAAACAAATTAATATTTTAAATTATTTTGGATTGAAGGGGAATCTTGACGTAACTGGTAAAATTGTTATCATGCAACCAGGAGGTCACAGGTGCGTTCAAGCCATAGAATTCCACACCGTCGGTACCTAAAAAAATTATTCAAAAATATAAATACAAAATATTGCGAGAGAGTCCGTTGGTAATTTACCGACGGAGTGCATCAATACAACCAATTAAATTTTGACCGGTCAAAGTATCATTATTTACCGAGAGTTGTTCGTCGGTTATTTTTTAAAAAAATTAGAAATTAAAAAGTTCAAAAGTACTGAAGGACTCCGACGGAAACTCCTTCAGAATAGTGACGGAAAAAAGTCTGTCGGTACTGTTGCGTCGGTAAACAGCTATTTTTTGGTAGTGGAATCAATCTCTTGCAGAAATATAGAATACGATTGCGTACGATAAACCCTTGTGGTCAGGCTCTTTCCCGAACCCCACACATAATGAAACTGTACGAGCTTAGTGCATCGAACTACCCTTTAAATTATCTTGGAATGGGTCAAATTCATCACGCTCATTCAATATTTCAAACGTGCCGTGCGTGAATAGTAATGAAGATTCTACAATATTTCATTTAAAAATATAAAGAAAACCCAACAAATGATATGCTTTAGATAAAAATACATATTTATGTTTAACATTTCTTTGTATTTTAGTAACCATTAGAAGTCGTTGGGCATTAAATCAACGATCTGAATACTTTAATCAAATAAGATCTTCCGGTATCAACAAGTCAACTAATCCTGCCACTAATCAATGTCAGAAATTGTAACCTCTAAATAATTGTATAAGGTTATGAGCAATTACGAAAGAGATACAACAAATTCAATTTAAGGATAAATATCGGGATGGTAATTATAACCTTAATTAAGGATGAACATTTTCAGAAGAGATAATTATACTTTCAATTAAGAAGAAGCGATTAAAGAGGAATAGCATGGCAATAGAAGAGGTACCAACTTCAGTTAAGTCATATAAGAGTCAATTAAGCAATAAGAGTGGATCATAAAGCAATTAACTCTAATTAAAGCATGTAGAGACGAAACTAGTAAATGAGAAACTCAATCATAGCAAAACAACTTCATATCTAGTGAACATAAAGACCTAAGAGCCCTAAAAGGTCAACTTTCCACAAATAAGCCCGAGCACGTACTCGTCACCTCGCATACACGGACATTACATGATATATAGACTCAAATCCTAAGGGGTAGTTCCCCCACACGAAATTAAGCAAGATACTTACCTCAAAGTAGACAGACCGATACTCTAAAATGAACTTCTCGGGTGAAATAACCTCCGGACAGTTCAAATCTAGCCAAAATAACTTCAAAGCACAAATAAAACTTATAAGAAACCATTTCGAGTAGTAAATCTTCAATTGTTATCAAAAACTAAAAATCAACCCAAAAGTCGACCCCCGGGCTCGCACCTCGGAACCCGACAAATTTCACAAAATCTGAACACCCATTCCGATACGAGTTCAACCATACCAACATTATCAAATTCTAATACCATTTCGTCCCTCAAATCATCATTTTACATTTTGAAAGTTTTCTTCAAAATCCCTATTTTTCTTCAACTCAAAACACTAATTTAATGACAAAAATAAAGATAGAATCGTGGAATATAATAAATTCTAGGTGAAGAGCACTTACCCAATTTATTTGCTTGAAAACCCCAAAAAATGGCTCAAAATCGAGCTCTAGAACTCCAAAAATGTTTAAAATGGCTAACCCTCGGAATAGAGTACTATTTATTCTGCCCAGGTGTTTAATGCATCGCGATCGCAGAACATTCCTTGCGTCGCGAAGAAGAAGGATGAAGAATGCCAAAACGACCCTACACGAACGCGAACGAACAAATGCGAAGGTGATGAGTAAGGACAACATCCTACGCGAACTCGAAGGGTCAATGGTCACCAGTTCCCAGTGCCTAGTTTCTATTACGCGAATGCGAAAAGGCAGTAGCGAACGCGAAGAAAGGAAATGCAGAATTACGCGATCGCGGACAGAAGCATGCAAACGCAAAGAGGAAATATTTACTCCTCCAAAATTACACTACGCGAACGCGGATACACGAACGAGAACGCAAACGCGAAGAATGACACCAGATGATAGAATCAGCAGTTCTAAAACTTGAAGAAATGGCTCGTAGCCCATCCGAAACACACCTGAGGCCCCAATTAATTATACCAACACATCCTAAAACACGATACAAACTTAATCGAGGTCTCAAATCGCATCAAACAACGTCAAAAGTATGAATCGCACCATGAATCGAATTGAACTCATGAACTTTCAAATCTTCCAACTTCTAAAACCCGCCCCAAAATATATCACATCAACCCGGAATGACGTTAAATTTTGCAAGCAAGTCCCAAATAACATAACAGAGCTGTTCCAACTCTTGTAATCGCATTTCAATCCCGATATCACCAAAGTCAACTCTTGGTCAAACTTCTCAACCTTCCAAACTTCAACTTTTTCAACTTTCGTCGAAATGCTTCGAATTACCCTAAGACCTCCAAATCCAAATATGGACACGCACCTAAGGCCAAAATACCATACAAAGCTGTTAAATCCATCAACACCCCATTCCGGAGTCGTTCACACAAAATTCAAATTCCGGCCAACTCTTAACGCTTAAGCTTCCAAAACTAGAATTCTTCTTCCAAATTGACTTCGAGTCATCCGGTAACTGAACTCAACCGCGCACGCAAGTAATAATATATATTACAAAGCTGCTCAAGACCTTATGCCACCGAAAGGGACTTTAATTCTCAAAATGACTGGTCGAGTCGTTACATCCTTCCCCTTTTAAACAAACATTCGTCCTCGAACGTGCCAAGAATCGTTCTGAAGTCATCAATTCACTGAATGTATTCATCCAACATACATCCGCGGGTGACATACACATAAGCCTGACGACACCATCTCAACTACTATTTATCCCTTCCACCATTACCATTAAGCCTTGGAGCCGCAATTTATCAACCATCTGTTCATTTTCAAAAAACCCGCTTCCTACATTCACACCCTGTATCAGTCTCAACCAGATGCAACAACTTATGCCTACACCCACAAGGTACAACCACACAACATGACACATCACACATAGGCCCATAATAACATTTCTGATCACAATAGCTGTCCGTAATCAAATCCAATACCGACAATTAGCCTCATATTAGTTAGAACCCTATTTCAACCCTCTACAGC